GCCAGAGCTGTCCCTTGGGTACAGAGAATGGGGGCTACCACTCCAGGCCCACGCTTTGAGGAGCCCTGCGCTTTAATGTGCGTGTGTCATGTGGGGGGCGCTAGGCCGGCCCAGAGGGTGGGTGCTTGGGGGACCAGCCCAGCCCAGGGGGTGGGGTTAGGGGTTGGTGGTCCAGGCCAGCTGGGAGGTTAGCGGGGGGCCTGGCACCGTCAGCGGGGGTCGGGCCTGCACCCCCCAGCACATTGTATTTCTTTTTCTTGCTTGGCATCGCGGGGCTTGGGTTCAGTCTCCAGCAGCGGCAGCAGCAGCGACCCCAGCCTGGCCCCGCTGCCTCCTGGCATCACTGGCCGCCAGCATCCTAGTGCCGCCGGAACACACCAGCGCCAGGCTGACCCCATCCATTGCCCTTCCACCCTGGACTCCTTCCTTTTCTGGGACCCCCCAGCACAGGGGGCCCTTTCGCCCCTAGCACAGGTGCCACCCTGTGACTCTCCATCATCCCTCACCCCCCAGCACTGGTGTCCCCTCCCCACACCAGATTTAACCTGTATAAAAAATGTTAAGTGGAGCCCATACAGGCTGATTTGTCCTGAGCCCCGCACCCCCCTAGGGACGGCCCAGCTGGCAGCAGAAAGGGCACTGCAGGGAGGACAGCTGCAATCACTTTCCCTGGGACAAGGAAGAGAAAAAGAGGAAGAGTTTGTCTAGCAGACCAGAGAGAGGGGTTTAGCTAGTAGAGCAGACAATGCAAGCTTAGGACAGCCTAGGTAGAAACTAGTCCAGGGGTGTGACAGGAAGGTTCGTGGTAGTACTGACCTTAGCTGCTGGAGACAGGGCCCCTGGGCTGGAACCCAGTATAGGGGATGAGCCTGGGTTCCCTACCAGCCACTGAGTGAGTGGCACAATATGGGCAATGAATTTGACGATTGTCTAGGATCGTTCATTCTAGTCACTGCGGGAGTGGCTCAGCTAAGGCAATGGAGTTAAGGACTGCCTGGGGTGGTGTGGAAGACTGACCATACCCCAGACGGGGAGGACTGTTTTGACTTGGCTGGAGGGCTAAGCCCCGAAGATAAGGCGTAGCAGCTCCCGAGGAGCAAGAGAGAGGCCACAGAGCAAGAGCCTGAGATGACGGGCTGAACAATTGCAAGAAGAGGCTCTCAGGCTGGCAGAGCTACTCCCCAGACATGACCAGAAGGAGGTGCTCCGGTGATGAGTAGAGGTTCCCATGACACCAACACATTCCAAGAACTCACTGGACGTTTTGAGTTTCGCTGTATTACTTTTCCAGAACATATCTGGGTAGTTAAAGTCCCCCATTATCACTAAGTCTTGTGTTTTGGATATTTGTTATTCTAGAAAAGGCTCATCCACCTCCTTCTCCTGGTGTGGTGGTCTATAGCAGACTCCTACCATTACATCACCCTTGTTTTTCCCCTCCCTTATATCTTCACCCAGAGACTTTCAACTGGTTTGACTTTCACCTCTTTCTGAACCTCAGAACAAGTGTATATATTCTTCATGTACAAAGCCTCCTCCCTTTTTTCTCCTACATGTCCTTCCTGAGCAAGCCATACCCCTTTATATCAATATTCCAGGCATGAGATTTATCGCTCTTCAAACATAGCTTCCCAATTTGGTTCTAGGCCAATGCAGGTGGAGCGTAAGGGCTGCCAGCACAGCAAAGATTATCATTTCCGGGGATTCTTTTATAACACAATAGTCCCTTAATCACGAGAAAACAGTTTTGTCTTGGCTACGTCAAGCAAAATGCCAGCGCACCCATCCCAGCAGCAAATTACAAGTGCCCCAGACCAGTTCAGTGGCACAGCGTTGGAAATGGAGCCAAGACTCCACCCAATCCCCACCTACCTGCTCTGAGTGCAGGGAGCAGCAGGCATGAGCACTGGCTTACTCTTGTGTGCCTGGATCCAAGACCTGGGGGAGTCCAAATTCTTACTCTTCAATCACCCCGTGTGAGCTCCTAGTTCAAGTCACTAGCCATTAGCGAGAACATGCAATTTGGAGTGCTCATCAGCTTAAAAGGGAAATATTTCATTAATATACCACTAAAACTAAACTCCTTAGGCAAGCCACTCAACAGAAAAAAATACCAGCATGGTACTTCATGGCCTGAGCCACAGTAATGGAAGCAATATAAATCTCAAAGGAATCCTACAACAAAACTGCCTGCTAAGTTTATTTTTCAGCTATAGTAACTCAACTTTCACACGGTTTGTGTTTTTGTTCTGTCTCATTAAACAGAAACGTTGATTTAGTTTGGGACAATAGATTAGTGGTCATTCAAACCCATAACCATAGATATATATTTTAATTGTAAATTAAAGCTGTGTTCATGAATGAATCTATGAATTCATTTTAATGTCTAATAAATAAAACACCCATATGTAGGGGTCTACCACATTCATGACTATGGAAATTATGTAATGGACTGTAAAATCTGGTCTTTTGGGTACTCTTACACAAAAAAGTAGGGTAAAAGTATACAGAAGTACACAGCATTTCTCAAAGTGGGGATCCTGACCCAAAAGTGGGTCCCAAGCCTATTATGGGGAGCGGGGGAGGGTGTCACAGTACAACCAACCTTACTTCCACACTGCCTTCAGAGCATAGCAGCTGCTGGCCAGGTGCCCAGCTCTGAAGGCAGCATCACCTTCAGCAGCAGCAGAGAAGGGGGGCAATACTATACCATGCCACCTTTACTTCTGTGCTGCTACTGGCAGCAGCATTGCCTTCAGAGCCGGGCAGCTGGAGAGTGGTGGCTGCTGGCTGGGCACCCGGGAGTGTAAATTATTACAGACACACAGAAGAGGGGCACAAACAAATAAGTATGAGAACCACTGCCTTCGAACAGTTTCCCCGTGTACCTCTAGCTATAGGAGGGATCCAGAGTTCCTGGACAGCCTCCCACCTTTTGTTCCCAAAGATCTGGATGCCCTTCAGTTCAAACCCCTTCCATTTCAAAAGGGTTTGCAGGGTTTTTTTCTTCAGTCATGTGGGGAAAACTCCATTCTATCTTATTTTTTGAAGACTGAGGTTTTCTTTTCAGCTTTAAGCTGTTCCCATTTGCTTTGATGGTTCCTCATTGTTTTTTCCTGGTTTCAGAGTAGCAGACGTGTTAGTCTGTATCCGCAAAAAGAAGAACAGGAGTACTTGTGGCACCTTAGAGACTAAAATTTATTAGAGCATAAGCTTTCGTGGACTACAGCCCACTTCTTCGGATGCATATAGAGTGGAATAAATATTGAGGAGATATATATATATATATATATATACACACATACATACACACATACAGAGAGCATAAACAGGTGGGAGTTGTCTTACCAACTCTGAGAGGCCATATATGCATGCGAAGAAGTTGGTAAGACAACTCCCACCTGATTATACACACATACAGAGAGCATAAACAGGTGGGAGTTGTCTTACCAACTCTGAGAGGCCATATATGCATCCGAAGAAGTTGGTAAGACAACTCCCACCTGTTTATGCTCTCTGTATGTGTGTATAAACAGGTGGGAGTTGTCTTACCAACTTCTTCGCATGCATATATGGCCTCTCAGAGTTGGTAAGACAACTCCCACCTGTTTATGCTCTCTGTATGTGTGTGTATATTATATATATATATATATATATATATATATCCTCAATATTTATTCCACTCTATATGCATCCGAAGAAGTGGGCTGTAGTCCACGAAAGCTTATGCTCTAATAAATTTGTTAGTCTCTAAGGTGCCACAAGTACTCCTGTTCTTTTTTCCTGGGCTAACATTAGCTAGGTGCTTGAAGCCCGTTGTATCTTCTTGGGGAAGTTGCCCCTCTCCAACTGATTACTTTACTGCCCTGTTATGAGGTGATGCTGAAGAAGTTGCACCACAGTTGCAATTACGATTTTCTTCATTATATACATACACGCACACATAAATACATACATACACACATATACACACACTCCACCATAACCAGTATACACATCTCATCAGGACTATTAAGCTCAGTGCATTACAACTTTTCATAAAAGAGCTTACTCAATATACTCTGACTGTTAAATATCACAGTATGCAAATATTCATCTGAAGAAGTGGGCTGTAGTCCACGAAAGCTTATGCTCTAATAAATTTGTTAGTCTCTAAGGTGCCACAAGTACTCCTGTTCAGTATGCAAATAGTTGTTTTAACTGCTTATTTGAAGTGGGGGGTTAAAACTTAATTTTTTATCCTTGAGGTGCCTGGACTTTCACAAATGTATCCCCCTCTTCCTCCACTACCATAGATCCTTTTTCTATCATCAGTTTTCCATTGCTCACCCAGCTCTAATGCAGTGGTCCCCAAATTGTGGGACATGCCCCCCTAGAAGGTCACAGAGGAATGTTCCAGGGGCCATGTGGTGGGGCCCAGGCCAGCCCCCAAAAGGGGTGGGGAGGGAGCACCGCACTTCCATCCCTGCTCCATTCCAGCCTCACTCCTCCCCCAACCCCATTCAGCCCCCAGTCCTGCTCCGCCTCCAGGCCCAGGACAGCCCCCCGGGGGCTGAGAAGGGAGCACCATGCCCCCAACCCAGCTTTTCCACCACCCTCATACAGCCCCCAGTCCTGCTCTGCCTCTGGCCAAGCTCTGCCTTCAGGCCAGATCCACCCCCATCCCACTCCACCCCCAACCCAGCTCTGCCTTCATTCCCTCTCTGCCCCAGACCAGCTCCACCTCTAGCCCCAGCTTCTCCCCCATCCCCAGCTCTACTGCTGAGAAAGCCGTGGCTGTGCAGTAATGGAGGGGGGGACACAGACAGATTCCGCTGATGGTGGGGTGGAGGAGGGGCATGACTGGAAAAGTTTGCACACCACTGCTCTAACGGTTACCCAACAAGTTAGCTTGCCCCTATGATCTTCCAAGCTCCGGTCTACAGGGCTTTGTAAAGTAAAATTCTATCAATACTCACCATAAAACTTGGCATTTATTTATTACCGTTAAAGTCACTTACCTGTTTTTCGTGTTTTGGTGTCATCCTCAAAACAGAAGATAAAAATCCACCTGTAAAACAAAATGGGCAGACTAGTTAGCCCTTAACTTACTGTAAAATAGGGCTATGTAATCCTTCTGCCACAAGAGAATGGGCCAGCCCAGGTTCAATATAATATGGTGCCTAGGGTTACAGCTAGGGGGTCTCTGGGAGAACAACCAACAAGTGGCTTGAACCCCTACCTAAAACTTTACACTTCAGATGGAAAATGTCAACAAATGGAGTGGAGGCACAGTGCAAGTTTCCTAATGGGCATTTCCCTGGCATGCAGGAGTCCTTTGTGGACATAGAGATGGAGTAGGTGCTGCCTCTGCCTTTCTCCCTGCAGCCTCTGCACAGTCCTGTGTGCCTGGGTTGGGGGAGTGGAGGACGCGATACACCCCATCTATCTCCAGCTACAGATGGTCCTTTGAGGAACTACAGCAAAAACTGGAGTCTAAACTGTACCCCTGGAGCGGGAGCCAACCAGAAACTCAAGGAGCTGCAAATGGCTTCCTGACACTCTCCTCTGCTGTGTCCAGCATGATCTGGATTAAGCAGAGTACCCGACTCATTAACTTTCTTTGCACAATAATTTATAAGCATTCATCTGCTCTGAAACAGGAACTGGAAAAGCATTTGCAAAATGTATTGTGATATCTTATTTCGTAACTGCCTACAGCCTTACTTGGTGAATCACATAATATGCTCAGTCCAATTATACCAGAATGTTACCAAGAGCTTGTCCACACTACAGCTGGAACCATGCCAGCAAGAACCATGACATAGGGTTGTTACTATCTGGGTTCCAGCACAGCTTCCCTAAGGAGTGTGGAAAGGGGTCCTTCCCTCCCCACCTGCCCCCCAGCCACAGTATAAAATCACTAGAGAAACGTATGAGACAGATGAAATATTAATAAATACTGTGCAAAACAAGTAGTATGAATAGTAATGTACGACTTTCTTGTGAGAAGCAGGGATTGTAAAACTGTGCTATAAATTACATAATCCATAGGCATTCCTCATGATTCATAAGGTCATACCTATAGGCATAATATGGATCATAAAGAAGCACACCTATATGAATTGAGTGCAGGACTATTTTTGGAATCATATTACATTAGGGAACAAGACAAAACATCTGCATTAGGATTCATATAGGGATTTTTTCATAAATATGCATTAAAACATGCTATAGATAACTAGTCTAGAACATGATTGTAAAGAAAAATCTTCCCATGTTATGAGTGACCTACTAGCATACGTTGGCTTTAGGTGTGGGTAAATTTCATGGAGTCAGAGTTGTATTGTGTTTGTGTGTGGGTTTTTAAAGTTATTTTCTAAAATTAGTGAATGTGTTCAGGATAGATGAATACCCCAGAAAAGCTAGACTAGGTTGTATGCAGTTTATATAGATCCACACACACCCCTATGTGGAAGTGGTGCCCATGTCCAAAATTAAGTTATCATGCATATGGCTCTACAATGTTGCATGCACCTCTGACCATTTCACCTACATTCTACCGACTAACCTAGTCTCTTCCAGGAATACATTGCAAATCTCTGAACAGCTTCAAAACAACTTTTTCTCTCCAGATCTACCTGAGAGAGTGCTATTTCTCCCTCAGGATTACCAAGGGCCCAGAATGGACAATATTTATCTGTGCACAAGTGAAAGGTTTAAGGTTCAATTTCACATCCTTAAAGAGCAAAAACAGGAGCTTATACCATTAAAAAGGGTAGACTACCATGCCATTGGTAGCTTCCCAATGATATGGACAGCACTTGCTTCTCACTCTGGAATCTCCTGAGCTATCAGACTTTCCAGTCATTGCACGTTATATCTAGAAAATATACTCCTAGTAATTTTTAGAGGAGTCTTACATGTTTATGAAATTGAACCTTATACATATGGAAACTGGAACCAAAATAGCTACATTGTACCTAATTCACACCTCTAATTATTTAGGTGCAAGTCTGTGTGTGGACACTCTTAGGTCCCGATCCTACTTACACACATACTTAACTTTACTACAATGAGTAGTTCCATTGATTTCAATGCAACTACTCATAGTAACAAATTTAAGTATATATGCAAGTCATTTTGGGGTCAGAGCCTTATTTTGGAATAAGAGTGTCCAGACTCAAGCCTTCACTGAAATAACTAAAAAGTGAATTGCAACAAATTTAGTTATTTCAGTTCCAGTTTCCATGTAAATAAGGCCTTAGTTTTATTTTCCCTGCCCCTGAAAGTCCCCTACTGTTGAATTCACAGCAGAGAGATTTAAAAATATATTGGGAATACATTTTTGTAACTGCTACAACATTTCAAAAATACTTTTTCTGCAACATATAGCATATACGTAGTATATGATGGTATTGTTTGGCATAAAGGTTTTATTAACATGCCTGTGGGAGGAAATGATTAGCATATTGTGTTTTGCCACTCTGAAGGAGAAAGTTGTCCCTCAAAGCAGACATAAGATAACATGTCCAAACCAGTTTGGAGGAAAAATTATTTTATTACATCATTAAGATGAGGTGACCCGTTGTTTACGATGAGAACTAAGGCTGGTCAAAATTTTTCCAAAAATAAGGGTGGCAGTGGGGAATTTTGTGAAAGTGTTTACTATATATTTCCCACTGGTTTTCAAGCTGCTCTATTTGTGAAGTCAGTAGGTTCTATTCTATAGGTCCTTAAACCACCTGTGATGATGTATGATTGAAATATAACCATTTGTCCCATTAACACTGCCACTGTTAGACAAGTTTCAGAGTAGCAGCCGTGTTAGTCTGTATCCGCAAAAAGAACAGGAGTACTTGTGGCACCTTAGAGACTAACAAATTTATTAGAGCATAAGCTTTCGTGGACTACAGCCCACTTCTTCGGATGCACTGTTAGACAAGCGCAACAAAACTTGTACAAAGTATATCATGTAAGGAGTCAATGGAAAAGTTATGATTCACTAAAGATTATTATCTTCTTTAAATCCATGTATCATCACTTTATCTGAAGTTATCAATATTGGCAATAGATCTGTATCCCAAATGTGTTTGTTCCTGGGCTAATACCCACCCAGTAAAATCTACATTGAAGCCAGATAGCTTTGTGTTGATGGCCCATCAAAGGCAATTAACTCTCACAATGGGCCATTGAAGAAACTTATTCTGCCCAGATGGCTCTTCCTGCAGATTCCAAATGGCCAATGGCAAGCCATGTAAGGGCATGTGACATGATCAGGTGACCCTGGACTCCATCTTGTGCCACTATCTTTCCACAAACTAGGCTATAAGCTTTGTTTAAGATAGTAAGATTCCATCCACATGGCAGAGGATACAAAAGACCCTTGGAACATCTCCATGTTACCTCTTTCCTGTTCTAATACTCTGGACTTTGGACATACAACTAAAAAGAGCACTCTGACTATGGACTGAAGACCTTCCAATTTTTTGGAAGTTACCAGAGACTTTTCAAGCCAACAGTCCGTAACATCACTGCTATAACCTAATCCAAAGGAATGATATATCTATATCTATCTATACACACGCATTCTTTTCTCTTAAACCTTTAGATTTTAATTACGAAAGGACTGGAAGCAGCGTGATTATTGGGTAAGATCTGAGTTATATATTGACTTGGCTATGTGGCTGAGCTCTTGAGATCAGAAGAACCCTTTGTTTGATTAAATTGGTTTTCAATAACCACTCATCAAAGTCTAGTGGCTGGGGGGTGAAATAAGTGCTGGAATGCCTAAGGAGACTGCATTTTTGACTTCTTGTTAACCAGCATGTTGAGACATAAGTTTACTTTTGTTACTGGCTTTGTATATCTAATGGTAGAGTAACCACCAGTTTGGGGGTGAGTCTGCCTTATTTCTCAGTTTGTCCTGAATTTGGTATTCTCCGCTGGTACCCACTGAGGCAAGGTGACACCACCCTCATCACCACAGCATCTGAACAACTTTTAATTGTGCATTAAACAACAGGACTAACATCTGTGATTCATTTTCTCTCTCATCCTCTCCTCATGGGGGAAGCTGTATGCACAATGTAGAGTTTTGGTAATTTTGATTAGGTTTTTATATACGTTAGTGAAGGCAAGGATGAGGAAGTGCGCCTTGCACATGGAGCGGAAGATAGTAAGGTTTACATTGGGCCTTACATCCTGCGGGAGTCAGTTCCACAGTCTGGGACCAGATGCTTGTGAAACTTGGGTTACACAAGCAATTCATACAAACCTGAATCTTTAGAGAAAACTTCTGTCTTCAGCTGCTAATGTTTGAACTCAGGTTTCATTAAATAGACTGAGAGGACTAGAATGAAGCCAAATATTTGTTTCTAAGTCCAGGAAGCTGCAATGCCAACCCTTCCATCACCTGTACTTTAACACTGAATATATCTGTGCCTAGTATCTTTCAAATCAGCTGGCTCTCTATGTGCCCATTTGCAACCTTCACCAACCCTATTATAGCATTATATGGGGGCGAAAAGCTGCACCTTTCTGCCTCCCCAAGACTAGTACCCAGGAAATTCTATCTGCTTCCTTCATCCCCTTTGGGAGGCCAGAGACTGTTCACTCAGTGTGTCAGATGCTGGCTATCCCCAGATAAGTAGCTCAGACCCCATTTCAGTTTTCAACAAAATAATATTTTGACAATTATAAAGAAGAGAGACTGTACATGATGGGGAAGAGGAATCAAGAGAGAGAGTGGCAGGTTTACAGTCTCGATATAGGCCTTGGCTACACTGGCAATTCACAGCGCTGCACTTGCTGTGCTCAGGGGTGTGAAAAAACACCCCCCCTGAGCACAGTGAGTGCAGCGCTGTGAATCCACGAGTGTAGCCAAGGCCAAAGTGTTTT